AGGGCTAGTAAAGTAGGCTTGAATATGACTAGGGTGGATGGAGCACAGGGTTTTGAGGCACAGTGTGGTGTGACTGTGAGGCTGGAGAGTAAGTAGGGGCCAGAACATGCAGGCCTTTGTAGGTCGCCCTATGTCGTCAGCGAATCCTTGAAAGTAAATGGTTACAATAATACTGGCATATGTTTAATTACCACGCATGGCCTTAACATTTTTAAAGTTAGTAAATTACTTACAACTAAAACAGAATCAAATGTAGGGATTTTATTAGGAACCAGCTGAGATGTCAGGCTGTGACCAGAGGAGTTGACACTGGTTCATCTACATTTACCTCCAGAAGCGTTAAAGTCACGCAGCACCCAGCTTACCTGCCATCACTGCTTCTCTGGCCCACACCCTCGTCCTGGGAGGCAGAGCAGTGTACCAGCAGGGGACACAGCTGAAATGTGGGGTTGGATAGGGAGCTTTGTTCTGATCCTCCATAAAAACCACCCCAAAGAGCCAGAAGAAATGGCAATGTAAATAAAGTCTGTGTAATCTATTAACCAGGTGCCATTTAGTCAATTCCAACTCATGGTGACCCTATGTATGCCAGAGTAGAACTGTGCTCCATGGAGTTTTCAGCGGCTGATTTTTTGGAAGCAGATCACCAGGCCTTTCTTCTGAGGTACCTCTGGGTGGATTTGAACCTCCAACCTTTTGGCTAGCAACTGAGTGCATTAACTGCACCACCCAGGTGTAATCTATTATCCATATTCTTCTTAGGTCAAAATGTTAGTTGCTATCACCAGTATTATTATTTTAGTCTCAACTTTGAAAAGCCACCGGAACAAACTTCTGACCTTCAGTGTGCTCACCTCCCATGGCTTCCTTGCAGGAGGCAGCTGACAATCCATCGATTCATTGCTGAGTTCCGTGGGGACTGGAGTAATCAAACGTAAGACTTTTTGACTCATGTATCAGGGGCCCCAGCATGAAGCCACTCTGTGATCTCCCTGGGATTCAGCATGTCAGAGCTGAAAGAAGGAAATGGCAGTTCGCTTGGTAGCCGAGAGCATGTGGGACAGCACCGGGAACCCTCTGGAACAATTGGAGGTTTGAATGGGGCTAGAGCTTCCCAGGAGTGGGAGCAGAGCCAAAGGAGCAGCTTGTGACACCAGCTGTGTCTCCAGGCTGGTGTGGCCTGGGAGGCTGGGGTTGCGTTTAGAAGACAAGTCATCACAGGGCAAGATGGTGTTTGATACTAGGACTTTGTGGCAGGCTAGTCCCTCTATTCATCCCTGATGGTCGGAAGGCAGGAGAGGCTGAGAGGATAGCATTTGCCTCATCACAGAGAGGTTGATCCAAGTGGGAAATCCCAATAGGATTCCTGACTGTTGTCCCGGAATACAAATTCCACAGTGTGGCATTCCCATGTCCTATTCACAGGGAGCCCTCAGCATAGTGCTCGCTGTGGATGGTATTTTGTATTTCGACATGCCTATCTCAATGCTGCCAAGCACTCTTAAATTGCCCTGCTAATGCTGTTATATCTAAAGAGTGAAAAGTTGAGCAAAGTGCCAAAAAAGGAAGAAAAGTTTTTTGGTTATTGGCCACAGAAACCAACTTTTTATTGAAGTATAACATACTTACAGAAAAGTGCGCAAGTCATTAAGCATACAGTATGAAGAATTTTCACAAATGGAATACACCCAGGCAGCCAACACCAGATCAAGAAACAGAATATCCCAGAAGCTCCCCTTCTGGTCACCATCACCTCAAGAGAAATCACGATCCCTACTTCCAACAGCATAGATTGGTTTTGCCGGTTTTGTACTTTCTATACATGCAATCTTATAGTATGTATGTATTCTGCCTTATCTCGCTCAACATTAGGCTTGTGCGATTCATCCATGTTGTGGTATGTAGTTGCAGACCATTCGTTTTCAATGCTGTGTAGGATTCCATTGTGCAAATATACCATAATTTATTCATCCACTCAACATAGGCATTTGGGTACTTTCTAGTTCGGGGTTATGATGAAGAGTGCTTCTATGAACGTTCTAGTACAAGTCTTCTGGTGAATATATATGCACACATTTCTGTTGGGTATACACCTAGGAATGGAACTGTTAGGTCATAGGGCACGCACATTCAACTCAAGCTATTTCATGGAAGAATAAGGAATTTAATTGGATGCAGCCTAGAGGATCAAATAATTGACAAGAAGCTAGAAGGGGGAGCTAGGAAGGTGGGTGGGAGCCAAGACAGCTCTGTGGGGCCAAGGAGAGGAACAGGAGTGGTCTGCCCAGGACTCTGCCAGCCCTGAATGCCATTGTCAGTGGACACCACCATCCCTACAGACTGCCAGCCCTGGACACGACCGCAGGGATCAAGAAATTAGTCTCATATCCTTTCGTTTCTGTGTCACTTGCTCAAGGTTCACAGTCCCAAAAGGCAAGTCCAACTAGCCCCTCCCAGGTCACTGGCCACTTCTGCTGGTGCAGCGCTGGCAGGGGGTGCATCTGAGAGAGACGATCTCCCTACCTCAGCTCCCACAGGGGAGGTGGCACCACATCCCACCAAATCTATACACAAGGCGTCATCTTCCCAAACAGGAGCGGAGGTCAGATGTTGGCCAGCAAAGTGAAAACCAAAAATGACAAGTGTGCACTGCAGGCACACTCCATGTGTGAGCAGGTTTTATTTCATTCACCTTCCAATGGCTGTTAAAAGGGACAAGGGCACTCACTCACGGGTTTGTATACCTCCTCTGCCATGGGCATGAGCCTGTCCTTGACGAGGGGAACACTGAGTTCTTGGGACATCTTGGGGGGAAAGAAGCCATACACTGCCTTAAGCTTAGAAGGCAGAGGTGTAGCAAAGGACAAAAAAGCATCCCTTAGAAGAGAGGAGGAAAAGGAAAAAAGGAGAGAGTAATGGTGGGCAGAATGTGGAGGCATGGTCAAAGGAAAAACAAAGAGGAGAAGGCTTCGTGGAAGACAAAAAGCAAATTTTTTCGTGGCCTAATTTCACTGAGCATCTGTGCTGTCCCACTTTCCTGGCTTCTCTGATGTGCTTTTATGGATTGTGCTTTGCCTTATCAGGTTAATGATGTTGACACGGACAACAGAAGAAAAGGACGCTGGTCATAAACCAAGATACAGAAGGATCTGGAGTCTTATTATCACACACAGCATACAATTCTTCCTGAGCTTGAGCACGCAGCTTCCTAATAACACTGGCAGTATCAGTGAGCTTTAATGAAGCCAGGTATGGGTTTCAATAAAAGAATCAAAGAATTAAAATGTACTAAAGCCATTTACAAGAGGAGCAAGTCATTAATTGATCTGAAAATCATATTTGCTTCTTTGTAGGCAATTTTTCATTATTCCTCCAACTAAACCACGCTACCTTTGAAGCTGTTGCATTCTTCCCTACATTAGATCTTGGCAGTTAGTACATTTATATGTTTTAAATAATAATCAGAGCTTTAATCTATGTAGCACCTCTCTATTTATCCCTAGACAGAAAGGCAGGAGGAGTAATTACCATTATCTCCAGTTTGCAGATTAGAACATTTTAGGCACACAACAGCTACATCCCTACATCCCACGGTGCTGCTGTCAGAGCCACGGGGAAACTCAGTTTCCAAACAAATGGCACCAAGCAAACCTAGACAAAGAGCTCTCTACCCCTGCGCTGCAGCCTCCTCTTTCATCAGGTGTGGTAGGATTTTTCAGGCGGGCCTGCAGGTTTGTCTCAGAAAACCAAGAGCTCATTTACTGAGGTCTAGCCTTTCCCCCGGGATCCAAGTACTGTCTTCTGGGAACTGCCAGAATATGGGGTCAACATGCTGCCTACTGGTAAAGAAGGGAGGAGTGGTGTGCAGCTGAGTGGACCATGGACAGTGCAACACAGGGTGTCTGTAGGTGGACCTGCTTGGCAAGCGGAAAGAGAACAGCTCAGGGGTTAAGAGAGAGGATTCTGGGGCCAGACTTCTGTGCTCAAATCCCAGTTTTCCTGTTTACTATCCATAACCTTGGGCCAATGACTTAATCTCTCTGTGCCCCAGTTACTTAAGCTCTGCCTCAGTTTCCCTATCTCTAAAGCAGGCACACACTCATGGGATTGTTGGAGGATTGAATAAATGTATATGTGGGAATGCTTAGACCAGTGTCTGGCACATAGCAAGCTGTTGCCATATGACTCACTGCTCAGGGCAGGGGCTGCTCTGGTGAAGCCCCACAGGGTCTCGGGCACAGGACGGGCACTTACTAATGCCAGACAGGAGGGAGCAGGCAAAGGTGGCATCTGGAGAGGGCACATCACTCCCTCGACAGGTCTGGCAAGTCGGCCAGAGCACACGAGACAGACAGCTGTCAAATGTGCTAAAATGCTCACCTAACATCTACATTTGTTGAAGGGTTGCCTACAAAAGGGTCAATAACAAGCCATGGGAAAGCAGGGGCAAGGACCCCCACAGTAGGAACATACAGTCCTAGGAAGATACAAATTGAGAAAACCATTCCAATCCTCTGGATTGTTCTCTCTGAACAGGGTAATGGAAAAGCAGGAAGGAGAGAAATTTCCAGAACGGCTGTCTCCCAGAAAGGAGATGGAAACGTTCCCATATATTTCTGTTGCTCAAAATGCTTTAATCTGAAACAGAATTACTTTGAATGGGGGAATCTTGGGCAGTTTTCTTTCCAATAAATTATCCACTGAAATGTACTAACTTTATGTGTTTGAACTTGGAAATTGATGTTTAAAAATTTAAACCCCTAAATCTGTATTTGTTTTTACTTGGTACATTTGTTATTTGGCTAAAGAGATGTCTATTTTCTTTATCAATAATGAAAATGAAATGGAATGCAATGCAAAAGAACAAGTGAAAAACCAGGTAAACCGGGGTAGTGGTCCTGGGTCGGGGCTATGAGTGGGGCTCACTAAGGCTCAGAGCATGCACGGTCTCTACGAGGGAGCTCACGGACGGACATGGAGACATTTCCTCACACATGGAGTTACAGGATGGTACAAAAGAACTTCTTCTCTCGGAAGGGGTTTTCTGACACAGGCACTGGGATGATGAGGGGGTCTTCCCGTACGTGGGCTTCACAGTACGCCAGCAAGTCCGCTGCTGCCTGGGAGACCTGCGAGGAGAGAACAGCACAGGGGATGGTGAGAGTGGTCCAGTGAGGATATGTCCCCGGACAGCCTCCAGCCTGGAGGGAGGGTCCGTGCACACCTGGGGAGACAGGCTTGAAATGGGCCTCCGAGGTAGGAGATGCTGCCCTGGGATGACGCAGGTCAGCATCCAGAGGGGAATGGGTTGAGTAAAGGGTCTAGGCCAGTAGCCTCACAGTTACTCTGCTAAACCATTTCTAGAAGGATAAAGCACAGTGCCACCCTGGCCATGCCAGTATAATTTATTTTGGTGTCATTGAAATCTACTCTCCTGGCCAACATACCAAAAAACAAAAAACCCCCAGTTGCCATGGATTCTGACACATGGCGACCCATGTGTGTCAAGTAGATCTGTGCTCCATGGGGTTTTCTTTTACTTTTTAAAAAAATAATATTTTATTGTGTTTAAGGGGAAAGTTTACACAGCAGACTGTTGTTGTTAGGTGCTGTCGAGCCAATTCCGACTCATAGCGACCCTACGTACAACAGTAGGAAACATTGCCCGGTCCTGTGCCATCCTCACAATCATTGTTATGCTTGAGCACAGGGTTGCAGCCACTGTGTCAATCCATCTCACTGAGGGTCTTCCTCTTTTTCGCTGACCCTCTACTTTACCAACTGTCTTAGTTATGTAGTGCTGTTATAACAGAAATACCACAAGTAGATGGCTTTAACAAAGAGAAATTTTTTCTCTCACAGTTTAGAAGGCGAGAAGTCCATATTCTGGGTGCCAACTCTAGGGGAAGGCTCTCTGTCTCTCTGTCAGCTCTGGGGGAAGGTCCTTGTCATCAATCTTCCCCTAACGTAGGAACCCCGGGACCAAAGGACGCGCTCTACTCCTGGTGCTGCTTTTTTGGTGGTATGAGGTCTCCATAAATCTCTGTTTGCTTCTCTCTTTCAAATCTCAAAAAAGACTGGCTGTAGACAAAACCTAATCTTGTAGATTGAGTCCTGCATCATTAACATAACTGCTGCTAATCCCACCTCATTAGCAGCACAGAGGTAGGATTTACAACACATAGGAAAATCACATCAGATGACAAAATGGTGGACAATCACACAATACTGGAAATCATGGACTAGCCAAGTTGACACACATTTTTTGAGAGGACACAATCCAATCCATAACACTAAGCATGTTACATCTGTCTACAGGGACTGGTCCCTCCTGATAGTAGGTGAGACAAAATCTTGCCATCCTTGCTTCTAAGGGAGCATTCTGGTTGTACTTCTTCCAAGACAGATGTGTTCGTTTTTCTGGCAGTCCATGGTATATTCAATATTCTTCACCAACACACAATTCAAAGGCATCAGTTCTTCTTCCATCTTCTTTATTCACTGTCCAGCTTTCACATGCATATGAGGCAACTGAAAACACCATGGCTTGGGTCAGGCGTACCTTAGTCCTTAAAGTGACATATTTGCTTTTAAACACTTTAAAGAGGTCTTTTTGCAGCAGATTTTCCCAATGAAATGCCTTGGGTTCATGACTGCTGCCTCCATGGGCAGTGACTGTGGATCCAAGTAAAATGAAATCCTTGACAATTTCAGTCTTTTCTTCGTATACCATGATGTTGCTTATTGGTCCAGTTGTGAGGATTTTTGTTTTATGTGGAGATGTAATCCATACTGAAGGCTGTGGTCTTTGATCTTCATCATTAAGTGCTTAAAGTCCTCTTCACTTTCAGCAAGCCATGAGTCTTCCTCCAATTCTGATGCCCCGTTCTTCTTCATATAGTCCAGCTTCTCAGATTATTTGCTCAGCATACAGATTGAATAGGTATGGTGATCGGATACAACCCTGACGTACACCTTTCCTGATGTTAAACCACACAGTATCCTCTTGTTCTGTTAGAACAACTGCCTCTTGGTCTAAGTACAAGTTCCCCATGAGCACAATTAAGTGTTCTGGAATTCCCATTCTTTGTAACATCCTCCATAATTTGTTATGATCCACATAGTCGAATGCCTTTGCATAGTCAATAAAACAAAGGTGAACATATTTTTTGGTATTCTCAGCTTTCAGCCAAGATCCATCCAACATCAGCAATGATATCCCTTGTTCCATGTCCTCTTCTGAATCTGGCTTAAATTTCTGGCAGTTCCCTGTTGATGTACTGCTGTAGCTGCTTTTGAATGATCTTCAGTAAAATTGTACTTGTGTGTGATATTAATATTGTTTGATAATTTCTGCATTTTGTTGGATCACCTTTCTTTGGAATGGGCACAAATATGGATCCCTTCCATTTGGTTGGCCAGGTAGCTGTCTTCCAAATTTCTTGGTGTAGACGAGTGAGTACCTCCAGTTCTGCATCCGTTTGCTGAAACATCTCAATTGGTATTCCGTCAATTCTTGGAGCCTTGTTTTTTGCCAATGTCTTCAGCGCAGCTAGACTTCTTCCTTGAGTACCATTGGTTCTTGATCATATGTTACCTCCTGAAATGGCTGAATGTCAACCAAGTCTTTTTGGTATAGGAACTCTGTGTATTCCTTCCATCTTCTTTTGATGCTTCCTGCATCATTCAATTTTTTGCCCATAGAATCCTTCAATATTGCAACTCGAGGTTTGCATTCTTTCTTCAGTCCTTTCAGCTTGAGAAATGCTGAGTGCGTTCTTCCCTTTCGAACTCTAGGTCTTTGCACATTTCATTACAAAACTTTATTTTGTCTTTTTGAGCTGCCCTTGAAATCTTCTGTTCAGCTCTTTTACTTTATCATTTATTCCTTTTGCTTTAGCTATTCTATGTTCAAGGGCAAGTTTCAGAGTCTCTTCTGACATCCATTTTGGTCTTTTCTTTCTTTTCTGTCTTTTTAATGACCTCTTGCTTTCTTCATGTATGATGTCCTTGATGTCATTCCACAACTCATCTGGTCTTCGATCATTAGTGTTTAATGAGTCAAATTTATTCTTGAGGTGGTCTCTAAATTCAGGTGGAATATACTCACGGTCATGCTCTGGCTCTTGTGGACTTGTTCGAATTTTCTTCAGCTTCAGCTTGAACTTGCACGTGAGCAACTGATGGTCTGTTCCAGTCAGCTCCTGGCCTTGTTCTGAGTGATAATATTGAGCTTTTCCATCGCCTCTTTCCACAGATGTAGTCAACTGGATTCCTGTGTATTCCATCTGGTGAGGCCCACATGTATAGTCGCCGTTTATGTTACTGAAAAAAGTTATTTGCAATGAAGAAGTTGCTGGTCTTGCAAAATTCTATCATGTGATCTCTGGCGTCGTTTCTATCACCAAGGCCATATTTTCCAACTACTGATCCTTCTTTGTTTCCAACTTTTGCATTCCAAACACCAGTAATTATCAATGAATCTTGATTGCATGCTTGATCAATTTCAGACTGTGGAAGTTGGTAAAAATCTTCAATTTCCTCATCTTTGGCATTAGTGGTTGGTGCATAAATTTGAATAATAGTATTAACTGGTCTTACACAGCAGATTTGGTTTCCATTTAACAATATCTACACAAATTATTCAGTGATATCGGTTAATTTTTTACAATGTGTCATCATTCTCATTCACTCCGTTCTGGTTGCACCATTTTCAGTATGCTAATTTCCCTGCCCCCTTATCTTCGCATTTTTGCTTTAAAGTAATTTTTGACCATTTGGTCTCATATAGATGGTCTTTAAAAGGAGCTCATTACTTATGGGTGATAATATTTAATTAATGAGCCAATCTGTTATTTAGCTAAAAGGTGACCTCAAAAGATAATGTTGGTTTAAGGTTTAAAGAGTATCTCAGGATGATTGTCTCAGGGAGTCCTCTAGTCTCAATTACTGTAAGAATAGCCTCCCAGCTGAGGTCCAGGAGTTCCAGAAGAAAGGATGGGTGACACAGGGTAGGGCTCTGATGAGTACCACTAAGAAGATGAGGTTACAGCTCATTTCACTGTGCACTGTGTCATGTGCTTGGCAAACACATGGCCTGTGCATTAACTCATCCTGCCAATTAGATTGTCCCACCTGTAAGTGCTTATTAGAGGCTTACAGGCAGGGGTAAGTATACAGAAGTCAGATGAAATCCTTTTAGTACACTTCAGCGTCTAAAACTTCTCCAGAATGATAAAAACACTCCACAAATGAATGAAAAAAAAAGTTTTAATGCTTCCAGGGCATGCAAGCCACACACTTCCCCTTCTGGATTTTTAAAACTGGCTCAGCTTCCAAAATTTAAAAAGATTCTACTTCTGATCTCCAGTCCAGACTTTCGCAGTGGCTGGACTCCTACAAATAATTCCAGGAGAGATATACGATGAATTCTCCCCACAAATAAATCAAGTAGAAATTGGGCAGATGAGTCAGCCTAATGCCTGGCAAAGCCTACATTTGCTGGGAGTGTGGCACGGAGAAAAGGGTACCAAAGAGCATCACGCTTCTAGTTCCAGCTCTGCCCCTAAGCTGTGTGACCTTGGGCAAGTAACTCAATCTCTCTGAGCTTCCATTTCCTCATTTGTAAAATGTGGGAAAGGTAGATTTCTTTAAAGTCTCTTTTATCCTAATAGTCTACGATTCTACCTCTAATAGCACTATGTTCAGTATTTTAGATCCTGAATAAATGTAAGTTGAGTTGAGTGCGGGTGTTTGAAGTGTGTAGTGGTTTACAGGACACCCCATACAGGAATCTTCTAGGTGAAGCAGAGGCCATATATATAAGCCCAGGGAGGACCAGGCCTGCAGGGGACCTGTGAAGCTGTCACAGGGAACTAGAGCACAGGAGCAGGGAAGCTGACCTCTGAGGCCCTCACGGCTGTAATGAATACACACCAGGACAGGAGTCACGTAGGGAGTATGTCAGGCACAGATCATGGGTCCGGGCCAGTTGAGCCCTTCATGCAGCGTCATTGCCACCATCTTCTGAACTAAAGCCAAGTGCTCTCCTCAGCTGCCTAAGTCCTGACCTCTCTCCCTCCACTACCGGCTTCTCACCATGACCAGAGATGCAGATGCTGCTGGGGTA